TCGATCGGAATCTAGTGGAGGCACCTTTAGATCTGCCTCTGGCTTTGGGATCTTCCCTTCTACATCTAAGTTCTTCATTCTCGTCCCAAAGTGTCAACTTGGACGTTCGCAGCAGTTCCTCCAAAGCTCCATTGGTTCGAGTGATGTCTGCTTTAGTGAGACCATCTGCCACCATACGTGGATGAGGAGCCCATCGCACAACACTCTTGGCCTTTTGAAGAGACTCCAGAATGATGCTCAGCTCGACTGACGTCCTTCTATCTTGCCTTGACATGGGAGACTCCTTCATCAAGGAGTCGAAGAGGCTCTTGGCATCGGTGATGTGACATTGTTGTAGTCGATCGGCCAACTCACAATTTTCTCGAAGCACAGGAAAGTGAGGGGTCAAAGACTCAGTCCAGTCTTTCCTCGAAACATCTCCATTCACAATGTCTCTGATCATGATCTGGATCCATTCAACCTCCCCAAGTGACTGGCTAAAGGCCAGCGTCTCGCTGGCTAGCGTCGAAGCCACCTTCCTGCGAAGCTTGGACGAGCGCCAGCTCAGAATGCTCACCTTGGTCCTCTGTGATGCACTGGGCAACCTGTCAGCTGCCATGATGACCCAAGCGCCCTGTATGGTGTCCAGTTCTGTCGAGCCACTCGATGGCATGCTGTCCACACCTCCGGCATCTGATGCCGAGATCAAGATCATGTCCTCGTTCTTAAACCCATGTAGTACTAGTGACTGCTGAGCCGTGTTGCGAAGATGACTGATGAGTTTGTTCAAACAGCAAATGTCGTCAATCACGGCCTCTTTGAGTCTAGAGGAAAGAATGCTCACTGCACCTGCTGCTTCTGGTCGAGTCTGATGAGCCACCCAAGCGACTTTGTACAGCATGGACCTGAAGGTCTCAAACTCCTCGGGAAGAAGCCTCGCTGATTTGTCGCCTTTGCGACCACCAAGAAGCTTGATGGGGTGAAGCTTTTCGATGATGTATTTCTCCTGATTCATCTCGATTCTTCCGGGAAGAACCTTGACATGTCGACCGGCGAAGTCTGCCTCATCAAATTCCATTTTGCCAAAGCGAAACCTGCTCTCCAGAGTCTGAAGCAACTCATCTTTGAGGTTGGGACGAGCTGCTACATTCAAGTCATCAACTTCGACTAGAATCATTGCTTCAACCTCACCTCGGTCATCTCTTCTCACATACCAGCACGGTTCTAGAAGACTTCGCTCAAAACCAATCTCTTGCAGAAAACTGATCACAGTCTGATGCCATCTGATCGGAGCGTCTTCTAATCCATACACTGGTGCCACAAGTTGAATGAGGGTACCTTTGGGAACATCCAAACCATCGCAGGCCTCCACGTACAACTTGCCTTGAGGTCGAGACAATGGCTCTGATTGACAGAATGCTTGAGTCACATCACAAAAGGTCACTGTCATCTGCATGTTGGCGCAAAGCTGTAAGAAAATGGATATGCTCTCAGTCATGGGCATAGGAGAGTATGTCGAATATGTGCCGGTATCGGGATCACAATGACCCAAAACACACCATCTCGACTTGAATTTCCACTGTCCAAGACCTGGCATAGGTTTCTTGCGGCGCACGAACCTGGACGGAAGGACTCTTTGAGGCTGCTGTTCTCTCACCTTCTGAGACTCTGAAAGTGACAACACCCTGACTGCCTTGAGGTCAAGAATGGTCTGCCATTCGGCTTTGTCTGCCTTCTGAAAACCTAACCGCTCCTCCGGTGTGGCTTCCTTCATGTTGAACTCCTGGTTCTTGGCTTTATGTGGTTTAACCATGAGACACGAGTCCTCTGCCTTGAGCTCAAAGAAGCTTAGCCCCACCTCCGTCATGTCCACTAGAAGCTCTTGTCTTTGAAGATCTCGCACTGAGTCGACACTGTCTTCCTTTTTCTCAAGATCTGTCGAAGGTTGTTGTGACTCATCCGGTGGATCACGATGGGACGGAGCCGCTGCTGATGATGACGAAGCCTTGAGTGTCTCTTCTCTGTCTTGTAATTTTCTGATCTTGTCCTCTCTTTCTAGTCTTCTCAATGTCTGTAAGGCTATCTTCTCTAGTCTCTGCTGTTCCGTCTGCTGGATGGGTCTTTTGAGCCCGCTCTGATGTTGAGTGCCTGCTGGTATGACTTCTATGGCCTTCTTCTTCTTGCCGTCTGTCTCTTCTGAATTCTCCTCTGTCTTTCTCTTTGCTGAGGCTGTGGCTCGGCTGTCGGTGTCGATGGAAGCGACATCTTCGTCACCACCTGGAACAATGGTGTCTGGAATGCCTATGACCCGAAGGGATCCTGGTCTATGAATTTCCTCAGGTCTGGTTGATGGTCTCGCATCTGTCGAATTCATGGGGGGTTGATGGCCAGTCAAAGGTTGTCCGATCTCAGCGGAGGGAACCTCTGAGTCCGCTTCTGGTGGTGGGCTGCCTTCTGCAGTCACGTCTACTGCACCAGCCTTGCTGGAGCGTCCTTGCTTGATCAGGTCTTGCAGTTCTCCGGCTCGGGCAAGGTCAGCTCCAATGGATTCAAAGTGCGAAGCCGGTCTCAACTGATCGCTGTTGCACTTCCAAAGTCTAGCTCGCATGGACACCCAAACAGTATGACCTGCCTGCAAAACGACCACCCCTGGACCTGTCCAACGAGCTCTTGTGAGATGCCCTTGTCCTGTGCCGGGAAACTTTTTCAGACATAGACCCACTGTCCCACAGCCCAGAAGCGCTGTTTGTGCACTCTCTGACTCGTGCTCAAACGAATCTTCTCCTTGCTATTGGCCTGTGTGCACAGTTGTCTTGCTCTCTGTCTGATGTGATGCGACCTGTTGTAGGCTGCAGAGGCTGTGTCTTGATCAAATGCGTCCTTTTCAATCTCTTGCCAGCCAAGTTCTTGCATCGTGTCATCAGACAAGAGCTCCGTGGGAACTCTTGGATTTGCCCCAAAAACCAGCTGACATGGGCTAAAGCCCCCTCTAGAAAACCACCTATTCTTGCATGCCACTATCATCAAAATCAGCTCTTCCAGATCGGAGGGATCGGTCAAAATGGTCTGCCCGGAAGAAATCTCCAGTTCAGCTCTCTCCTTGACCCATCCTCCATGTCGCTCAACCCTCCCGTTCTGCCACGGGGAGGCGGCGTCAGTGATTATCTGCAGAATCCCGTGCTGTTCCACTGATCGTTCAAATCTTTGCTTGAATTCTGAACCACCATCACTAACGATTGTTTCTGGAATTCCAAAAGGTTGTATCCAAATGCGATTGAAGAGCTTCCATGTTTCCTATGACGATGGCACTCCCCCATCGTATTCTTTCAACAACCCAACCTGCTGAAAATTGGTGCCGTGACAGACTGCATTCAAAAACGCAAACGTCTTGTTCATAAAGGAAAGAAAGAAGTAGTCTAACCCGATGATTCTGTTGAAGGAAAAAGTACGAGGCACGGCAGCGTGCCTTCTCTCAACCGGTTTCTGTTGTCTCATGCAATGACCACAGCTGAAGGTGTTCTTCACATAACACAGCACGCCCTCTCGAGCGCCTGCTGCTTTAAGCATGGTCAGCATCTTATCCCGAGGAAGGTGACCCATGTTCAGGTGCATAAGCATCACCTTCTTCTTCTGCTCTTCTGACAGGACTTCCGATTGATCTCTCTGAAGGGTTCCTGGAGTTCGAGGTTGAGGATCAAGATCAAGTCCTTCTTCTCCCTCCTCATCTATCAGGTCATCGGGTTGGGCAGCTCCAACAAATTCTTGTGATCCCCACAGAATCCCCTGAACAATGTTGTGCACTAGATCCGGAGGATATATGCGTGCTTTGTGAGGGAGCCCATTTTCCAGCTGGATGTGTTGATGACTGCCAGAACACTGATATTGGGACAGCAGAAAGGCTATGCCAAGGTGATTCGTGGCCGCTCCCGTGGTCTTTCGTGAGAGACCAGCATCACTTACTTGCAAACCAAGTTCACATTGATCAAACAGGAAATGATGAACTCCTTTTTGTTTCAGAAGCCACTCTGCTGCGTGCGTCTTCCATGAGGAAGCACCGCCTGGCTGCTCCAAGAAAAAATAACGATCATGATTCAGCTGGTGTTCAGCTACTTGAATGCACATGTGCCACATCACCAAGGCTCTCATCTGATCTCTGGAAAGTCTTTCAACTGGAATGCGGCTCAGATTGACGTTCATGAGCTGACAAAACATCTTGCAGTCGGGGCTCATGATGACAATGTCTGGCTTCTGGTGCTCTAGAATTTCCCACATCCGCTTTCTGTCCTCAGGCTTGAGGGCATCCCAGCCGGTCGTGAGGTCTAAGCTGGAGGGCTCCGTGACCGCCAAGCCTGCCTTTACTGCCTCAGTGGCTACTCTCGGGGGGGTGAAGATCTCCATGACCTTCATCACGTTTGATGCTCCCATCCCATGGCTGCTAGGTTGAACGTCTACGATTCCTAGGGCACTAAGCTCTTGCGAGCTAGGTTCGATCGATCGCTTCGAACGCCGTGGTCGAGAGATGAGATCAAATGATCTGCTTCTTTTCTCCTCTTGAAGGCTCTCTGGCTCTTGATGTCTTTCTTGATGGTCCCTTGGCTCTTGATGTTTTTCTTGATGGCTCTCAGGCTCTTGTTCTTTCTTTTGATGGTCTACTTGTTTCAGTCCTACCATCTCACTCGGGCTCATTGGCCCACCAACGAATTCGGTGGAGAAAACATCTAATGAATTCAACAGTGCCTTCTTCTGCTTTCGACTCAGGTGCGTTTCCGCCCCTTCGGGAAAATCACTACACACGAGATCATCCACCAACTCCGAGTCACGAACGATGAACACGTCTCGAAAACCTCCACGAAACTTCTGCTTACCCACAAAACAGTCGATATTTTCCCGTCGGCTCAGAAACTTACTAGACGTGGCGCTACAAGGAATCACCAGCCAAGTGTGAGAAGGGTCTTCTGTACACTTAAAGTCTCCTACAACTGATGATGACGTGAAACCAGTGGCTGCTCTCTCTCTCAGCTCTAGCCCATGTGGTCCGGAGGCCCCCCCGGAAGGCTGTCCAGTTCGTCCTCCTCTGGAAGAGGATGTCGCTGTGCCATGGCAAATGACTGTGCCATCATCCGGTGGATCTCCTCCGGACTCAACGCCGGAAAGACCGCTCCGGGTTGACGAGTCGGATCTGTTTGCTGCATGATGCGCTGCTGAGTCAAGAAGAGCTGTTGCATTTGCACTTCTTGTCGATCTTGGATCCGCTGGGCCTCCTCTGCCTGAACTCGGAGTGCTTGGTGAAAGCCCTCCACCACCGGTGTCATCACCTGGGCCATGATGGCAGCCGTGTTGTGTGCCAGCTGCTGATTCTGACCCTGAAACGCCGTCTCGAGATCCGGCATGATGGAGGGCACGGGGCCTGAGGTCACCGGGAGAGGAGTTCTCGGAGCTGGCGTGGATGGTGCCGAGACATAGGTCTCGACTGCCACGCTCTTGGCCTTTCTGGCCGCCGGAGGCGGGTTGTTCTTGCCGTACTTTTGGTAGCCAGTCTTGCTCTGGCACAGTGAGCACCTTGTCCACGTTCCATGCTGATTGGCGCCTCGAGTCTCGAACTCTTTGGGATGACTGCAGCTGTCCAACATCTTCCGAGAGGACGGCATCATCCCGGACGGATCGGAGGGTCCCGGAGACGACGTCGTGAAGTCCCCTGGGCGCGTCTTCATGCCGAGAGTCTCCAAAGCTCCCGGGCCCCGATTCAAGATCAGCAGCTTTCGAGCAAAGTGATGCCAGCTCATCTCCAGGTGTTCTCGGTCCGCTTCCGAGCGAATGCGCGACTTCTTCACCCTGGCATTGAGCACGCCCGCCATGCTGAAGATCACAAGATGAGTATTGGGCTCTACTGGTGCGATCGCGGAGTAAGTCTTCGATCTCTTTTGAGGCGGCGACGGACCGGTCGTCATTGAAAAGCACCACTTGCTCATCGCTACGTGTCAAAACAACTTCATGTCGAGTAAAAAGACTGACTATTAGCGACTCTGACCAATGCTGCTGATCAAATGAAAGTGGACATTCTGTCAGCTCAAACACATCTCTTCGGTAAGTGCAAGTCTGTGGTCTCTCACGTTTGGCGTTTCGTTCAAGCAAGCACGTCTCACAGCCGTTCACAAGCCACGATGTGCGAAAGAAAACGTCGTTTGACTGCGTCTCAAAATCACTGAAAAAAGGAAAGTTGCCTAGTGGAAGACTGCACGAAATCTCAAAAGAATCCAACATCTCCTCACAAACACCAACTTGCCCAAAGAAGCTTGCTCTATCTGAAAGAATCGCACTCGCAGCCATGTATACCTCAGGAGCTGATGGTCGAACGTTGAAAGCCCCTGACGTGAGGCCAAACTTCTCCGTCAGTTGCGGAGGAACCGGGAATTCGCTTCCATCCCAGTCTGCGATGCTCAAAATGCGGTGGCCAGATGGAATTCTGGTCATCTTTGCCACCTTGTCAAATTTCTTAAAGAAAATCTGGTCTGCCTGCGTATCGATAACGGCGTGACCATGCTCCAAAAGTCCTATCGACAAAAGTTGTGGAATGTTGTCTTCCACAACGGTCAACTTCACTATTCCTGGTTGTCCCCCCAGGATACATGGTGCCAAGGCCATGAAGAGCGTCTTAGCAGTGCCACCCACTCCGGAGGCCTTAGCTGGCTTCTCCTCCAGCTTGATGGTCTTCAGACCAACTTCACGAAGCTTTTCCTGAAGCTTCAAAAAACTGGGATGTCCGATGAGGTCTTGCGAAGCGCCCGGGTCCACAATTGCCTGCCCCGGGCCAAGTTCCAAGAAACAGTCCTGCTCCATGGTCTGGTAGCTGCCAAAGTTCGCGACGAGGAAAACGGAGTCGTTCCCCTGCTCGGACACTCCCAGGTAGGCAAAAGCTGCCATTTTGGGACGCTTGTCCTTATGAGTCTTGTCACCATTGGTTGAAGCCTCGTGACAGTCTTCTCGCCAGTGTCCCTTCTTGCCGCAATTGCTGCAATGGGTCACCTTCTTGAGCTCCTCGATGGACAACCTTCGGCGATACGGAGGTCGAGATGGCCGTGAGTTCTTGTCATCAAAATGTCTTCGGTCTTTCCTACGGGCAGCCTTCAAAAGTTTGTTTTCCTTCCAAGTTCGCCGTCGGTCTTGCTGTAGATCAGCCATGAGGGAAATCGCTGCATCTTCATCAACCTCCTGGTACTCGAGGGCCGCAAAGACCTCCTCATCGTCCAGGTCGGAGTCCATGATCTCTTCCTCCATGGTGTCGCCGAAATAGTTCACCTTGCCTGGCTTCACAATGCTCTCCTCGTCCAGGTCAAGTACCTGAAGTGCCTTTCTCACCTCGGAGTAAGAGTGCTGCCCCTTGGTGAGGACCCTGAGACTTTGCACGCTCTGCTTCGAAAGGCCAGACTGTTCCTCCAAAAGGATGCCCTTGATCTCTTCCGGGATGGCAATGTATCGACTGGCCACTTCAAACTGCGACTCCCGACGCAGCGCGTACTGCGCTAAGCTCTCATCGCCTCGTCTGTTGCCTTCAAACAAGGCTGCTCGAACGGCTCTCCTCTTCTCAGAATCCTCTCTTTCTCCTGCTAGCACATCCAGGACCCCCAGGATCTCAGTGATGTAGGCCGGACTGGCCAAGGTGGTCTCGGAAACATGATCGAGCTTGGCCTGAAGATCCCATTCAAGCGTCTTGAGAACCTTCTCGGCTCTCCTCCATACGCTCACGTCGGTGTTGTGATTCCACCGAAGAATGGCCCTCCTCCACAACCTATAGTTGCTCCATCCGGGCCACGCCGGAGGATCACTATAGTCCCCCTTGGCGTAGTGTCCTGACTGCCACCAACCGCCTTGACGACCGTGATCGACTGCCGGAGGTGCTCCAGACGTCGAGGTCCTTCTTGACCACGGGTCGCCATTGCGAGCGTGCCACGGGTCTGAGTGCTCAACCCCAGACGCCGGCAACGTGGTCGAAGCAGCCGCCCCAGCTGCTCCATCACGCTGACCTGCTTCCCCAGAAGCGTACCATTGAGAGCCAGACATCCAGCTCTGCCCCCAGTACCACTTCTTATTCCACTCAGCCCATTCGGCTTCCGTCCACTCTCGCCTTTCGTCTCCAGCCACCGCCGTCGTCCCCCTTGCCTCCTGCTCCATGTTGTCAACGCACTCCTCCAGTTCCTCGCTAGATGTCCCCGGACTTGGCATCGTTCTGCACCAGAGCTCCGGTTACCACTGTCAGATCCGAGAGGCCTAGTGAGGATCGAAGAAAGCGCCTTTC